AAATTAGCAAATCTGATCTGTGCATTTGACTGTGAATACTATATACTATATATTATTGTACATCTGTCACCGTAACGCCATAGGTTACAGCGTGCCGTAATTTTGCGGTATTTTACGAAGTCGATACTGACGCTATACTGTCTTCGTGCATACTTTGAGGTATCTTCGTAATAACCTCATATTATATTTTATATATTATTTGACGATGATATACCAGTTTATCATCATGACAACAAGCCATATGTTCACCTCAGTTCAGCAGTGGTATAGTAATTGTAATATAAAACGCATTTTATTTGTGAAATCAACATAAATACTTTTAATCAGTAATATTACACTGAAAATTTCATTCATCGCATGGCCAAAATATACGACTAGTAAACATATTGTGACGGGACGAGGGATGGGAGAGGCCGTGTGTGGATCTATTCCGTACACGTAAAAAGAGGTATTATCTTCAGTACAGGTCTTATTATACACTTTTTAGTAGCATGCTTAACTTATTGATTTCCACTTCTTTTTATCTCTTCTATTGACATGTTGGCATGGGATGGGAATCGCTCTGTAATAATATATCACTACAACGGTCAATGTTAAGAAGGAAAATTACTTGATGAATTATAAAATAAATGACAACACTGGTCAATAAGAGCTGCTGCTAACTAGAGGTTTGGTATATAAAATAAATGATTGAAATCAGAATTATTGTTTGAAGGTTCCTGCAAATGGCTATGTACTTTTAGACTTGCTTGCAGTCTGTTACGATTCCGATGAAAAAATCATGAAAAATAAATAAAAATCGCGTAAACGAGTGGTAAACGCGACAGTCATGTGACCGCGAAACAGACTTGCCATCAATGTAAGCGCTCTCACATTACCGGCCAGATTCGTGCTTGTTAATTTACATATTGCGATGTCAAGACCGCACACAATACAGACAATTTCTTGCGTTCTCGGAGAATCGATGGTTGTTTTACTCAATTTTGTTGGCGTCAACAACGTGGTAACATAGCGTGCGACAAGTGAACACAAGTACGTGCGATATCCGGTTTATTGTTATGATTCGTGGCTCGGCTGTTCAACCCACCGTATGACGTGTATGCAAATTTACAAGCCCGAAACTGGCCGGTAATGTGAGGGCGCTTACACTGATGGCAAGTCTGTTGGGATATTTTTACGAATTATTCAAACTATATATATTCAATATGGGAGAAAGATATGCACCCAGTATGTGATGATCAAATCGCGCCCTCGCAGGGTCACCTCACGCTTTACTATAGTCTACACAGAAAATATGGTACGTCATCACAATTAATTACTAAACTTAAAATACATATATTCAGCTACATTACCAATAACTGTCAAGAGTAATAATTATTTCAATTGGTTTTACTAGAATTTCATTAATTGTAGTCATCACCAATTCAGATATTTTCGTCGTCTCCACGAATAACGGGATCATTTCTTCATTTTATTTATTTGATGGCAACATAATTTAATGAACACATAAGAAAAAAAACATCTTCTGATACTAAACAATGAGATACAATAGTTCTTCACGTGTAAACAATAAACAGGATATATTTGTTAGTTATGTGCGTTCACCACGTAAAATAATATAGCATGTCATAAAATAGATAAAGTTAATCCAGTGCCTGCAGTATTGCTCTATAATACTAAGCTCTTTGGTGAAATAGACATGGAGAGCAATTATTAACTGATATCAGTGTGGCGTTTTACAATGATCATTTGATAATAGAAAAGAACACAGCATCACACATTCTGATTCAGTTTATTTTATTCAGATAAGCGATTATATACGTCGATGTATCGAACACGTTTCTTCGCCTTACGGATTTAGAGCTGTAGTCTTATTAGTTGTACGGCATATTGTCGATGTACATACCTGTCGGAGCGGGAGAATCAGAATCGTGAGTATGGTTTTCAGTATTATTTAACGTATTTTTTAGTTTACACCATGAGAAATTGTCCTTGCCACATTTGCGATATTTTTTTCTGAACGCAACTGAAACAAAATGGCGGATAATTCTTATCTTTTCATTCAGCGCTAAAAATAGTTGATAGTTAATAATACAATTGAGCATGCGTGTTACGTATTACTCTCCATAACTGAACACATACCAAGGATCACCATGATATAGTATTCTAAATCAAACCATAATGTAAGTTAGTTTGCTGTACTAATTTCGGTGTTGGTCTGCGAGGAACATAATCATTCCGTCTAGTGATATAAAATCAAAAATACGTTAATTATACCAGAAACTGTGCACATTAATTTAATTTATTGCTGCTAAAAGTAAGTATCGCATCCTATCACGAGGCCCGTTATGTTTGATATTCTCACAAGTCGCCACAGGCCATAAGTGAGAATATCAAGCTAAACTGAGGAATTGACGGGCGACCTCAATTGACCTTCGACACAAATGTTATAACCCACGGTCACTAGTGTAAGGGTCAATGTTGATATTGTAAGCACGTCTAACATTTCAAATGTATGTGTGGCAGTCAAGTATTTTGCAGAGCAGGCGTATTCAATATATCCAATGTTGTTCATAACAACTTGAATAGGTAGTTAAAAATATCTATTATTGTGGCACTATTTTACATCAGACAAAACCTAAAATCTTGACTCACAGAGAGTTTTCTGCTGTATTGTGCAAAATAAATTGCACTTAGGCGTGATTTAAACATTCAAAATGAACGAAAATATTTTTTGTTTATATTCTGTGAATATAAAATTATATCGTTCTTTCTTCTTCTGGCCCTGTGGCCTATGGAGGCTACAAGGTTCAAAATACAGTACACCCCGTCTTTAGCAACTGGCTTGGCTGCATTCCATAATGTCCATCCAATAACTTCTTTTCCTTCTCTACCATTGCTCATCGCCTAACCCAGTGCGCATGTGATGCAATAAAATCATTTTCTAAACTTATGACCAATCCATTTCAATCGTCAATTGTTGATCCAGAGAACGTAATTTTGGTATTACATGGTAAGCAGCGATGAAATTTGAAGAGAATAAAAAAAATAGACTTAACCGGGAAGGGGCTCGTGGCAAGATCGATAAGGTTTATCGGCTGATGTTGTTGAAAATTGTTCTCACAATTAATAATTTGTTTTGTTTTTCTCAGCAGTGTAATAATAGTGCTGTTCTTTTTTTGTCCAGGAGAATTAAAACACAGTGACTTTTCTCGGCATATATTGCGATCGCCTGCTCCGTGAATAAACAGAGAGAGATTATATGTAACACGGGGTCGTAATAATGGTGAAAGACGTGAGTATGCCATTGATGCGCATGCGCTTAGAAAGTCCAACTTACAGCTCATATGTATGTACTTTATATAACGTGATCTTTAGTACTTTGGTAATAGTGCGGTTATGGAATGTGCCACTAAATGCAAATAATAATAATGCATGAATGCCATTGTGCTCCTAAAACAAGTGATCTGAATAAATATATGTTTATATATCGAATCAGTAATTATTTCTGTATTATGGTAGCAGAATAGTTTGTTTTCTTGAAAACATTTGACGGCTGTTACCAGAACAATGATGATCGAAGCCTATCAAACATATACATTTGTTTAAAGTGCACGTGAATAAGATAGGATAAATGATCCCCATGAATACAAAAACGATAATAAGAAGTGTTTGCTATCAACACAATTGTAAAGAACACTTTGATTATACCAGGCCATTTGGTTGTACAGCGCTACATGTTAGGGCATACTTCTGTGATTCAGTTGTAATTAAACGCATGCCCGTTTACGACAACAGATTCTGATGGTATACTTATCAAGTTTTTTTTCGGATTAAATATTGTAAATTCTTGAATACCGATTTAAGTAATTGTATGTTTATTATTTTTTTTTCACAATAGGAAAAATCTACCAATGTGTTAGTCATATCAATTTGTGTAGCTAATATTGGTCTAGCTATTGCTTTACTTGTCCTAGTTTTTGTGCTGGCATTCCGAGGTGATGGTCATCCATTCGGTAAATATACATGATATTTTTTTTTTTTTTCTTTGCACTTTATCATCTGTTCATAAACATATATATTCAATACCCACGTGTATTTCAGACACAGCAGAGTGTTATGAAAAGGCTGATGGAAGCGATTACCGCGGTTTTATAAATATAACAAAAAGTGGATTAACATGTGCCGCATGGACAGTTCAAACACCTCATTATCACTCGAGAACGCCGAAAAATTTTCCTAACGCTGGCCTTGGAGAGCACAACTACTGTCGAAACCCTGACAGGGATGTTGCGGTGTGGTGCTATACGACGAAACGTGATATGCGATTGGAATACTGTGACGTTGGACTTCCTCGTAAAACTTGTAGTAAGAAATGCATTCTTGCAATTCAATCATAACTAATATTTAATAACGTTATCATACACGAGTAATATATAATAAGTGTTTTAATATTTAAAATAACTACAACATGTTGGAAGATCTAAAGCCAATCACCATGAACTGTCTGAGTGACCGAATCGAATAATGGCATTTGTCGGAATTGTGTTATTTATTTTGAAACAAATATAAACGATTACTATCATAAACTACTTGTATATCGTATTATTTTTGTTATTTATGCAATTCAACCTAATGTTGTTTATGTCGGTATAGGTAAATCTACAACACCGGTAATCTCTTTAGTAGAGATGCATACTGGTACTGAAGCAACTACACAAGGTAAATTTCAATGACGACACTATTAAATAATGTACGTGATTTACCCCGCACAATTGTTCAAACATCAAATCAGAGCATGTATTGTCCATAGAACCATGGGACAATACACATATTTTTATTTGTACACTGATGTTTGTTATAGTTAGCACGTTGTTTGATAGAACACTGTTTCGAGTAAGTATAGCCAGAATAATCTTTCCACTTCTAAGAAAACAACATATTTTAATGTATTTGGTTATTTTACATGAATTCTGCTGTTAGCAGAGCTTGAAATTACAATCCCAAATGGAAACATAAACTTACCATGGGCAAATTCACACACCACAATTATATATTGTTGTCGTCTGTATTTCAGGAACTTCATTAAACAAAACAGCATCACCAATGTCAGAAATAAAAAAAGGTGAGTTCATGAGGGCCAGTGTTTACAAAAGCAGTGATTTGCAAAATGAGTTGAAATGTTTTGTCTCATAGTAAATTGTTTATTTACGTTTTGTATTGTTAGAAAATGTTAAAAATAAATAATAAAGTAGAGGTCAATATTCCGTTTTAATGACCCGAAAATAATATTATTGACCAATGCATTAAAACGGAATATTGTCCGAGACTGGGGTAAATATATGTTTTATTATTGGTACTAACAATATAAATCGAAATTTAAAGTCAACAAATACGAGCAAAAACATAGAAGGAATATGACAGTAGATCATATATTATAAGATTGAAGATATATCTTAACATTTTAGATATTTTGACCTAGTTGCACATCTGTTTTGTATACACATTTTAGATGCTCTACAAATAACACATTTGGACAATTGATATTGTTTCATAGTTATTATAAATTATATTATTTCATTGAACGGAAATGCACTAATTTAAAAAAAAAATATCTAAAATGAGCCAAACGACATGGGTTGCATGATATGATATTTTTTGTACATTATTATTGATAATATTATTATATATTATTATACATCTGTCACCGTAACGTCATAACGGGGTATTTTCATCCGACCGAGTAAGCGTCCTCTTATAATAAAAAGAAAACATGGCTGCCATCAGGGTTTGACCGGACTCCACAAAAAAGTTCGCTGATTTTGATATTGGACTTCGGCATTTCAATTATGTATCCTTGGAAAGAAAAGGTGTATAACAACACGGTTATTACGAGGATACCTCAAAATATGCATACTTCGTGCATACTTTGAGGTATCCTTGTAATAACGAAAAAAATCTTCATGTACATACTGAAGAAATATCTCCCTCATATTGCATGTATTTTTGTGCAGTGGCATGCCTATGTAGTGCATAATTTGAAGTCGGACCAAACGCCTCAACACGTTTAATATGCTTTTTTTTAATATAAGAATGAAGAAGTAATGGTGCCTGGTGATTCCTGATACTAATGTACGACTACACGCAATGATTTGAATTATCGGTGTTATCGTTTTATTACTGGCGACACTTGTATTAAGTAGTTCACATTTATCTATGGACACCACATTACGGATAATGGAAAACACATGGACATAAGAAATGTCGTTATTTATATGTGTGCTAGAGAATATATCACTCGGTCACCCATCCCTTTCGTTTTAGCAATATTTAGATGAATGTAATTGAACAATAATAGACGCAATATTGGACAATACATAAAGTGTGCCTGAGTTTATTATGGTTTATAAATAAATAAACGCTGCTCGGACTGATAAGTATGATATATTGAAGATAATATTTGGTAATCGTAGTCCTAAATAACTATTAAAAATAGCTAGACGTTTCGAGCAATGGCTCTTTATCGATAGCATAGAAGCAAGTGTGATAACGTACAGGTAGAACATAGGAACGTAAGAACGCGCATGAACTATAAGTTAGAATCACAAAAAAAATCCACAGTAGAACAAATAACGCGCCTTAGGTAATGAGCTCAACAAATGAGTTGAACTGTTTGTTAATACCATGGGGTTCTTTAGTTCCAAGGCGGAATATAGTTTCCTCCTCGACACGCCTGAGCTGATTTCCGTTGCCATTGACAACATATACACCAGAAATAGACATATCTGTAATATTATGTCCACTAGAATTAAAATGAAGTAAAACCTTTGGTGCCATGTCTAGCAGTCGACAGTTCATTGACTTTGTGAAGAACTTTAATCCCGCCATACAATACACACATGAAATATCAGAAATAACACTACCATTTCTCGATATTTCTACTAAGGTAGATGGTGATCGCATTTCTACATCAATCTACACAAAACGATAATGAATGTTATCTGCATAATGAATGGTGGTTTTTCTGCATGCTTCAAAAAGAAATAAAAATCGATATACGATAGCCCGTTTACCATGTATCATTTTAACTGTACTAAATAAATGTACTGATACTCATCCAAGGCAGCCCGCCACGATCAATGTTAATGTGTTAATATTAATGTTCAATTCACAAAGACAAAATAAAATAAAATATTCTTTAAAAGCACGCTGTTACATTTGTTGATATATAGTGCACATCCTTGCACATTTTTTTGAGAATAGTGTAAGCCAATTTTATATTAGTAAAAAGCAACATTAAAAATATATGATTTACATTTTTGGCGGCCATCTTGGTATGAAAACCATATTTTCTTCAATATTTCATATTTGTTTTGCATATTACTTTGAAATAATCCATGTTTCACAATTTTATGATAATGTTTGGTCAATACACATGGACAAAAATAATTCAAGATGGCTGCATAATTAAAAATGGCCTCAAATATTCAATATGGCTATCATATCTAGGTATGACACTAAATAAGTTTAATCAACCAGCCATCATTGAACATTTGTGGTTAATTTTAGTAGGTTTTTGTGTACCAATGTAATACCACTGGATTTCATCCATACTAAAACCACTTGCTATATGATAAAATTACATACACATTTTATTGCAAATCAGTCATTTTGTTACATTGTCCATCTTGAAATTGGACATATGGAATTCATCTCTTGTGCAGTTATTGCACATTCCTTTACCTTAATATCTTGTTGTATAGATCTTTTTCAAAAGCATGTTATATTACTTTGATTTTGTTAATATAATTCAAGTGCCAAATTTCCTTATATGAGTTGTGTCATCTACGTTGTAACATGGCTGCTGTTTCGACATTCCTTTTGTACGTAGCTTTGTTGTTGCATCTTTCAGAAAATACGGAACACTGTAGTCATGAAATATATATCCGTGCTACTTCCTATATATTGCTTTAACAAACTGTTTTGTAAGGTCATTACAGTTCTTGATGACCGATTTAAAAACCACTGTTTCTTCAACAACATTTTCTCCACGTGATTCAACTCAAGTATGTAATCTACTACACAGTCAGGAAGTATGACTTTTGTCGTCAAATTGAACAACTTAGCTTCCGTCCCATCATCATCAACAACTGGATTGGAGTTTGATAACACTTTTTTGATGTCATGCATATATGTATCTTGTTGGTTTACTTTAATGTCTGTCATTTGGTGGTGTGCAGTTCTTGTGAACTTTGTCACTTCTAACATGTTTTCCGACTCAGTGAATAGTTGTGTCAGTTCAGAGGAACTAATGCAATACCTAAGTAAAGCTTCAGAGTTTGTAGTTATTCCAGATATTGCTTCATCAACTTTTCAATATATTCCTGCGTTTGGTTCACTGTAATAGCTGTAAATGCTACTGTGTTGGTCTTTACAGTAAAGGAACTTGTCTAAAGATATTTACAGTTTTAAAGTCATCCAATAGTTTCCTAAAATTGAGTGCTGTAATTGTAGATAACAAATCTTGATGAGCTTGTGGTACCCTCTTCTGCTCCCTGCACGTATATAATAAGTTATGTAAACTATTCTGTAGCATGCATATGCACCTTAGTTTTTCTGAAAAATAGCTTCAAGCAAAAGGTTCTTCATTACTTGTAACTTTACCTGGTGACATTCTATGGATTAGTTGTGGCGTTTACCATTCATAATCTGCATGACCGTGGTTTACATGCCTGCTTGCACCCATGCATCGTCTTGTCCTCTATTTTCAACTGTTGCAAATGACCAAGGCATCTTAATGCACACAAGACTATATGAAACTGACCTTGCGACTCGAACCATTTATTTTAATACTGAGAAGGATCCAGGCAGGCAAGTTTGATAACTCTTTTGTATAGATTCATATCAAGCCAAACACAGTGGTGTATGGGAAGCATCATTTCTGACAAGCTGATTCAGTTCATGTATCTGTAGCAGTGATAAAGTCAAAGTCTATTCAGGGGTTGGTGCATTAATATGAGTTTTAGAGTTTTTTAATTATCCGATATTGACTCTGCATTAATTGCAGAATTGTATGCAGCCTAGACAGATACAATGTTTTTCTGGGGTAGTTGCTTATGTGGCTTACAGCTCCAAAATCTGGAGGCAGTATCTCCACTAACAGTTTTTGTACTGCTGTAGTTGCTTTATTATTGCTCCATGGTCTGTGTTTCTGCACTTGTACTTGATTGTGTTGGTGAAGAGGGCATGTCAAATTCATGTATATCAAATAAGCCTTGAGTAGTTTTTTTTCTGGTTGATACTTGCTCATTGGTACTGTACATGACTATGTTACACAATTGTTGTTACATGGTCACAGCGTCTGTACTGCAACATGTTTGTCTACAGAAGAATCTAGCTAGCAACCAAGAGGTGATATACTGCTGTGACTTATACAGATGTTGGAAAACTTGAAATTCAGGGTAATGAGAACTTGTCTTGTATTTAGGCGTCAATAACTCCTTTCCAGTTAAAAGTACATTCTTCAACTCCACTATGGGAGATTTCGTAGCCAGTTGTAGTGGTGCAAATATGGATTCAACAGTTACTCCTTGTTAATTTCCTTTCTGAAATACAGTTGCTGCGAGTCCGTGAAAGGAGTTTTTACCATCTTGGGTACGGATATTGTTAAAATCTGCTTAGATGTTGGCCCTTAGCCAAACCAGAAGATACATAAACACCTTTGTTGTCATTTATGTTTGCCTGTACTTCGCCTGCAAACTGTGATACATGTTCTAATGAGGATGTGTATGTTCCAACCCCAGTATATCCACATCCATATATGATCAATAATATTTGTACTTCTGGTTGCATGATAACAATATTGGGACATTTCTGTTGTTAGAAGTGTGTCAGTTGTTGTGAAAAATCCAGCCATGGGTTCATTTGCAATTTGTCTCTTTGATTTGTATGCTTGGTTTATCTGTGTGTCCTTGTATTATCTATCCCAGAAATATGTCAAGCACGGATGGACCGTTTGTTGTTGCTAGTGGACAAATAAATGTCAATATATTGGCTTATTCAATGGCCCTGTGCACAATTTATGCACATTGAAATGTCATTTGCACTTCTTCAATGGCATTTTTTAGGTTTTGCTTTTTAGTTAATCATTGTCGGCCTAGACTTAATCTTTGGACGTGTACATTCCACATTCTAAA